TAGGATGTCATTGTTTCTTACAGCTGAGTAGTACTCCATTGTATAAATACAGCACATTTTCTTTATCCATTCTTCAATTGAGGAACATCTAGGTTGTTTCCAAGATCTGACTATTACAAATAATATTGCTATGAACATAGTTGTGCAAATGTCCTTGTGCTATGAACGTGCCTCCTTTGGGTATTTGCTCAACAGTGGTATTGCAGGGTCTTGAGGTAGGTTGATCCTTAATTTTTTTTGGTCCAATCTATTTGGTGTTCTGTAAGTCTCTTGTATTTTCATAGGCATGTCCTTCTTTAGGTTAGAGATGTTTTTGTCTATGATTTTGCTGAACATATTTTCTGTGCCTTTGATTTGAACTTCTCCTTCTTCTATCTCTATTATTCTTAGGTTTGGTCTTTTCATGGTGTACCATATTTCCTGCATGTTTTTTGTTAAGGATTTGTTTGATTTTAAATTTTCCTTGACCAATGAATCTATTTCCTCCAAATTATCTCCCATGCCTGAGATTCTCTCTTTCATCTCTTGTATTCTGTTGTTTATGCTTGCATTTGTGGTTCCTGATTATTTACCCAGATTTTCCATTTCAAGAATTCCCTTGGTTTGTGTTTCCTTTATTGCCTCTATTTCAAATTTCATGTCTTAAATCGTTTCTTTACTAGCTTGATTGCTTTTTCTTGGTTTTCTTTGAAGGATTTGTTGATATCTTCCATTTTTTGTTTGTGTTTTCCTTCATTTCTTTAAGATAACTTTTCATTTCCTCTTTATGGGCCTTGATCATTCTCATACAATTATTTTTAGGTCATTTTCTTCTGCTTCATCTGTGTCGAGATGCTCAGGTCTTGATGCTGTAGCACTACTAGTTCCTAGTGGTGCCACATAGCTCTTTATATTGTTGAGTGTGTTCTTACCTTGCTGTCTGCGCATCTCTTCTTCTAATCTGTGTAGGCAAAGCTTTGCTGCAGGGGTTCTCTCTTTCTCCAATTGGTATAGTTGGGGGCTGTGGCTCTGTTGATCGCTCCTTCAGGCACAAGTGGAGCAGAGCTTCCTGGGAATGCTCCTTCTGGTGGAAGTGAGCCCACTGCTCAGGTGGTCACTCTTTGAGGTGCAGGTTGGGCTATAGCTCCAGTGGACCCCCTCCCATTGGAGGTGTAGATGGGGCTGAGGGTCCAGTGGTTGATGTAGTAGTGGGGTGTCTACAACTGAGAAATGTTAGAGGATGCTAGCTGAGTCACAGGTGCTTTATCCCAGGGTAACATTTTGCAACAGCTTCCAGAAGCTACTGCTGGAAACCACTGCTGTTGTTTCACACAGTGATCACTCCTTGCTCCTGTGCCTGAAGCTCCAACCTCCCTCTGACACTGCTTCCGGGTCTGAGGCTTGTGGTTCCCTTGATGCTGTTCTGGACCTGAAGCTCAGGTCTCCTTCTGATGCTGCTTGGTGTCTGAAGCATGAACCTCCCTCTGACGCTGCTCTATTAGATACTTCTTAACAATATGTTTTCCATTTTCATTTCTGTGTTAATTTTTGGTTGTGTTAGTGGACTTTAATTAATTTTAAGTGTACTCCTTTATCTTGTATGGTTTGTTATTTCTTCAGGAGTTTGTTTTCTCCTTTATGAGTCTTACGGGGGATTTGCCCTCAAGAAATAAAATCGGAAAAGACATCCAAACCAACAGATGATGAACACCAGGACAAGGGAAGCATGGAGAAGCAAGGTAGCATAACTCCTTTAAACGACCCAGCTACTCAGTTCAGAAGTACTGAGATGAGTAAGATGTTTTGTCAAGACTTAAAAGTTTACTTAGAGAAATGATCAGCGACCTAAGACAATACATTGAAAAGCAGAATGTTGAAGTAAGGGAATCAACTCGTGGCCTGGAAAGGGTGGCAGATTGCACAGGTGAGAACATCTGTGTGTGTATGAGACCATGGGGAGCATGGATGAAAAGGTTGAGCAGCAGTTAGGAGAGATCCAGCAGAGCCTGGGCTTTCGAAGAAAAACAAAAGGTAAATGTTAGGAATGAAAACTCAATGAATCTTATTTTAAGAAATGAACAAACTGTCAAAAATGTATCCAATAGTCTGAAACAATAAAGTGCAGAATATTTGGGATGCTGATGATGTCAAGAAAATACGATATTCAAACCTCAACATGGAAGAAAAACACACAGCCTCCTGGTGTGGACCCTGGGTCCCCTAGTTTTCCATGGTGCCCCCTTCAGTGTTTCCTCCTATCCCATCTCCATTCCTTTGTGACTTTGCTGACCCCCAGAACCAGCCTCTACCAGGAACCCTTAGCCGCACACTAACTAGGGAACCCTCCCTCCTCCCTGACCTCCATTCTAGTCTCTCCATCCTTGCTTATAGTCCTGCCACAGTCTGCCCACAGGAGCCCGTTCTCCAGGCCTACCTCCATCCCTAGTGATCCAGGGTCCCCCTCGTTTTTCTCTGGTGAACCCTTTCAGCCTTTCTTTCTAGCCCATCTCCATCCCTAGCCTCCTTCTCTGCTAGAGGGAAGAAAGACTCTCCACCAGGGATCCACAGAGCAGAGCTCCACACATAAAAGATGAGACCAGATACCCACACCAAGAAACACCTCAAATATCCCAGTTCCAGACACCTAGATCCCAGTGCAATCAATTGGCTTAAACCATCTGTTGTCTAAAAAACAAAACAAAAACAAACCCAGCAAACCAAAACATCCCGCCTCATCAACAAAGATACTCATAGTTGAGAGTGAAAGCCAGGATGCCAATCTACCAAGCAGGCAGAGGCCTAAACACTTGGCACAACTGTTCTGACAAAAATCCTTCAAAATTAATCCTAAAGAATTGGGACAACCACTACATATCAACAGAGGGAAAAGTATACCAAGAAGACACAACAATTTGAAATATATACATCAAATTCTGTGGCTCCAACTTTCATAAAAAGACAGGTAGGTCCTGATAACAATAATAGTGGGTGACATCTGCACCTTACTCTCATCAGTTGATGGTTATCCAGACTAAAATTTGATGAAGAAACTTGAAAGTTAATTTGAACTATAGACCAAATGGCTTTAACAGACACTAAAGAATATTCCATAATAGCTGTCTTAACAAATACAAAAGAGTTTAGATAATTTTTGGAAACCAATGACAACAAATATTTGGAGATTGGACAGTGCCCTTTCATTTTTTATTTTAAAGTTTTCATTTAGGTGTATGTATGCATGTGCCTCTGTGCATGACAAATACATGTGAGTGCCCATGAAGATCAAAGAAGACATTGACCTGGGAACTGGAATTGCAGGGAATCCTGAGGCACCTAACACCATGCAGTAGAAGATCAGCAGGCACTGTTAACTACAGAGCTATGCCCCCAGACCCTGGGACAACATACTCTTGAATGGCCAGGGTCATTGAATAAAGCTGGGAGGAGACTAAAAATTCCTGGAATATAAATGTAAATGAAACACAACTTAATACTTTTGGGGACACAGTGAAGACAGCTCTAAGAGGGAAGTTTATAGCTGTGGGTGCTTAGATTAAAAAACTCAGATCTCTCTTAAATAGATAACTTAATGATTCATCTCAGGCTTCAGACAACAGGCCAATCCCAAAAGCACTAACAAAACTTAGGGCAAGATTAAATGAAATGGAGGCTACAGGAAAAATACAAAGAAACAATGAAACAAATTTGGGTTCCTTGCAAAAAATAAACAAGGTTAAAAAAACATAGATGGACACCCATGTCAATAAGACAATGTGCTAATGACCAATAGACATGAAAATGAGATATCACCAGACACACTAGAGTGGTTAAAATTAGGAAAATCCCCAAAACAAGAGTTGTCATGGATATGGCATAACAGCTCTTATACTCAGCTAACAGGTGTAAGGTGGCAGGGCTGGTGTGGGATTGTCTCTACCAGCTGAAGCACACATGCATGCTCTTCCGTGGCAGCAACAGCCCTACTGCACACACTTCCAAAGCAAGGATATGTATGTGTGTGCAAAAGGCTCATGCAAGAATTTTTATGAGAATTGTTCATAATGCGTCAATCTGAAATCAACCTGAGTTTTCTTTCCAAAAACTCATAAAAAATAATAAACTCTAGCTGCATGTAACATGGGCAGCAATTACAATTACGGTTTTAGGCAAAAGAGGCCAGGTGTAAAGGATATAAACTAAGTTCATAAAGTTTAAAAAATACACAAAACTAAGCTAAGGCACTTCATATATACTTCCATCACAAAACCTTAAGAGTATGGAAGTTAGCTACCTGTAGTTACCTTGCAGGGACGTGTGGGGATGGGCACTTGGAAGAATCACAGAGAATGTTTGTGGGGGAACAGAGAATATTCCATATTCACATTGGGTGGTTAGTAATATGGAGGTTTATTTTATCATAATTCACTGGTTCCTCTTTTCTGTACAATTTTCATATGCCATAATAAAAATGTTAAAAACAAGTAGACAATGTTGCCTCTCCCTCAGCCATGTTTTGAATGCTCTCAGAACTCTCACACGGTTTCTCTGACCACACCATCTTTTAGCCTAGCCTGCTTTCACAGGGAGCCCCCTACACACACTAAGCGTCAGTAATTTCTCTATGTTCCAACCCTTATGAAATATTTTGGCTTTGCCTTTAGTTATATTCCGAGCCTGCCTGCCTTTAGCTGCTGTTATTGCTATCTAAATATAATTTCTTTACGTTTCAGAGTGGAGAACAAGATCACTGAGAAGAGGGAATAAGCCAACACTCCAATATGCTGTGAGGATAGTATTTGCAGATACAGAAAACACTAGGAATGAGTATAGGTGTGAAACTGGGGGCAGGGGGAGGAGCTAGGAGATGGAGGCTGAGATATGGGGGCTGTTGAAAACATGGAGGGACTATAGCTAGCAGCGTCAATGACAGCGGAGAGATGCCTTCCCCATGGCAACCCTAGTACAAGTACCAAGTTCTGCTAAAACTCTGTAATTAAAACAACGGGTAGACAAATAGTTACCTTTCCTTTGAAGTATTCTGCAATCAGGCTGCCCAGCGTCGTTCTCCCTGAGCTCCTGGGCCCAAATATGAAGATTTTACATGGTGGAATTGGCATAGGTGGTAGAAGGCAGGGACGGGGGTTCAGTGAAAATAATTTTAATGTTTCTTCGGAAGAAAGGCAATATATTTTACCTAGAAAACTTAAAACATACCGTAAGAGTAAAGACCTGAAAGCATCACGGGGCAAGTTTAAAAGCAGGTTCGGGAAAGCTTACTAACCTCACAGCAAAATCCGCTGACCCCGAATAAATGTTCCCCTCCTTTAAGGATATGGGACAAGAACGCGCCCACCTGCTTCGGTGCCATCTGTACCGCGGTGCAATGAGTTTATAAGACCCGAGTGTACGGAACAGTTCTTCCTGTGAATAAACTCTGCATCAGAAGTCGAGCCTCAGCTTTGCTGACGTCAGCAGCATCAAATAGTTGATCGTACTTAACGTGATCATATTTAAGGCACAATTTAGAATCCACATTCTGACTTTGGGGTCAGTTATGGTGCTCTGTACTCATCTAAGATTTAATGACATTTAGTTTTCATTTCTTAAAATCTATCTGTGCAAGCATTCATGGTTCCTGTGTGCATGCGTGCGTGTGCGTGTGTGTCAGTGCACACATGGGTAGCAAAGGGAGCAGAGTGGATCAGTCATCTCCTTCCACCACGTGGGCTCCAGAGTTTTAGCTCAGGCTGCCATGTTTGTTGACGAGTGCCTTTACCACTTCAGCTCTCTCTCTCATCCAGTTTTCATTTCTTTAAGAAAATCTCATTTGAATTTTACAGGGAATTTTCTCTCATTAGGTAATAAATATAACAGGGAATTTTCTATCATCTACTTCAAAAACCAGAATCTGAAAATATCTTACTGATAAACTTTTAAGATGTACTGGACTCTTAGTCTGGAATGAATCGGAGTCCAAGTTGTTTTCTGATGTTTGGTTGGTTTTGGTTGGTTGTTCTTTTGGTTTTTGTTATTGGCTTTTCAAGACAAGATTTTTCTGTGTAGTCCTATCTGTTCTGGCACTAGTTCAATAGACCACACTGGCCTCAAACTCAGTTTTTTGTTTTTGTTTTTGTTTTACAGATTGGGTCTCATTATGTAACTCTGGTTGAACATGCTATTGAGACCAGGCTGGCCTTGAACTCACAGAGATCCTCCTGCCTCTGCCTCCCAAATGCTAGGATTAAAGGTGTGTGCCAACACACTTGACTCCTAAGCTTTTTATTTTTTAGGGCCAAATAGTATTCCACCATGTGTGAATGAATATGTGAGTATATCCTATTTTGTTCAACCGTCCACTCACTGGTGGGCACTGGAGGTTTCCACCTCTAGGTGACTGAGAGTGTGTTAAGTGAAGCTTTTTCTTTGCTAGCCGCTTTGGTTTATCCCCCGCCAGTCACCTGGGCTCTGCTGCATTGTAGTCCCCAAATAAACACACAGGAGGCTGTATTAATTATGAAGCTGTTGGCCTTGCTTATTTCTTACTGGCTAGCTCTGACTTAAGTAATTACCCCATAATTGTTAATCTAAGTATTTCTCTTACCGGAGAATAGTTCCAGGCTTCCTACCCCATGGCGGTTACATCTCAAACTCTTGTGTTTCTCCTTCCCAGAATCCTCCTGGACTCCTAGTCCCAACTATCTAGATTCCTATTGGCTCAACAGTGCTTATTGACAAATAACAGGCAAATAACAGGACTTCCCCAACAAGAGTGACTTTCGTGCCCACATGCACTCAGCTGTTTGTATTCCTGCTTTCAGTTCTTTGGAGGAAATGCCTAAAAGTGAATTACTGGATCCTTTTCTGAGGAACCACTCAGTTACTTTTAAAGAGTAGATGCACCATTTTATATCTGCAATATTACATAACTGAGGTGTTGTCTTTGAGTACCTAACTAACTGACGTGCAGGTTCCAAGATCTCTCACCGGGGCACGTGAGCTTATGTCAAAGGAGTATTGGTCATACATCCTGCTTCTGTGCCCTTTCCCTGCCTCCTTACCTGGAATAAAGAGTCTGGCTGTCAGGTGTGCACTCTGAACTCCCCCACCCCATCTCCAAAAGAGACTCGCTTCTGCTAGAACGTATAGTGATAAAGTTCTCAGATATTTTTAAACTTTATTTTTATTTTATACGTTTGACTATTTGCCTGTGTGTTTACATGTGCCCCTGGTGCCTGGGAAGGTCAGAAGAAGGGGTCAGATTGCCTGGAACTGGAGTTACAGATGGTGCTGGCAACCAAAATCTAGGTCTTCTGCAAGAGCAGAGTGCACTCATAACCACCAAACCATTTCTCCAGTCCCACGAAGCTCCGAGAATTAATTGGACATGGGATTTTATTTCAGATCATGGGGCTAATCTATCCCGGCGAACACAGTCACAGCTCCTTGCCTTTCATGTCAAAGGGAAGCACACGCAGTTCTCACAGCTCTGTGTGAGACTCTGTGCTCACCTCCCTTCTTCTGCGGAACCAGGTCCCACATTCCGCCTGCACCGACCAGCTGAGCCCTCCAGGTTACAGGGTGCGGGATAACAAAATGACCTCTGCAACTACTAGCCTATTTAAATTTTGATATCTACTTACAGTCCCACTATTTTAACATTGTCTATGCATATAGACTAAGCTAAACCTCCCTGAATAGACCAAACCCTCCAACTAAAACTCCTTTCAACCCCCAGCGCCAGGCAGTTACCGTTTGGGCAGCATCACATTCCTCATCGCGCCCCAGGCCATCAGAGCCAGCACAGCAGTTACTTCAGTGCGTGGCAATGAATGTGTGCTTGACTCTACCCCCTGCATTCGTTATTTGGAAATCTCTGTTCGGCTGTAGTTAGTGTCACAAAGAGTACTGTGCTCGGGTAATGGCTTCTTCCTGGAAGAAGATATCCTTACGGAGAGCTATCCCTTAGACCTTAGGAGGTATATGCTAAGGACACAGCTAACATTGAACAGGCAGGCTTTCAAATAGGCCAGTTGAACTTACGGTGTCTATTATGTCATTCATTTCTTCTTCTGTACTCTGCAGCTTGGTGACAATGGCAGCTCTTCTTAGATTCAAGTATTTCAGGCGTTCTATAACTGTCTAAATTTAAAGAACAGACATTTGAATATATTGGCACTTGAGTAGGTGAAACCTTATGAGACAGTCATAGGCCTGTGGGGCAGGCTCAGGCTTCTTCTGAGATTCTCGGTGGAAGCCCTGCGCGGGCTTTCCTGGCTTCTATACATTACTGTCAATCTTTGGTGTTTCTTGAATATTTTAAAGTATTTTTCTCTTTTGATGCAATGTTTTGTGCATTTCGGGCTATGCTTGAACATGATATGTAGTTGAGGATGCTTTTGAAATCCTGAACTGTCTGTCTCTGCCTTCCGAGCACTGTGATTATATAAATGGAATTTTTAATTGGTCTAAGTATTGAAAACCCAGAGTCAGATAGAGAGGAAAATTCTGAGAGATCAGAGAGAAGAAGGAGCAAGTCACAGCCACACCTTACCTTCTTAGTGTCTCCGCAGGCAAGAGAATGATTTCCTGTTTCTTCCCAGCCATTTCACTTCCTGTCTGTCTGTACAGACCTCCAGACCTCTATGGTTAGCTAGAGGTAAACTCCTCTTTCTGACCTTCAGACAGGCTTTATTTGTATAAGCAAGATGTCACCATAGGGTTACAGAATATGCCATCATGCCCACTTTGTGCAGCACACGACACGGAACCTGGGACTTCACACATGGTAGGCACAGTCTGAACCAACCGAGTCAGCTTCTGTATGCATGACTCCTCTCTCTCCTCTCTCTCTCTCTCTGTCCTCTCTCTCTCTCTCTGTCCTCTCTCTCTCTCTCTCTACTTCTGCCTTCTGCCTCTCTGACTTGGCAAGACAATTGGACTAAGACAATCTAATTAAACCTTATCTTAACTGGAATGAATACTCCAAGACCTCATGTTCAAATAAGGTCACATTCACAGACTACAGTTAGATATTTGAAATATTCTCAGAGGACAAATTCAACCAATGATACTCTGGACCTCCTCAGGTAGATGAGAGAGAGCCCAGTGAAGCAGAGGCCAATACTGAAGTTTATGCTCTTATAGACCATAAAATGCCAAAGACAACAAAAGCTGGGCGAGGTGAGAATGGGGCAGAGGGATGGATGGAGCATTGCCCTGCCAGCACCTTGACTCTGAACTCCTCTTCAGTTGCCTGATTTGTGGGACTCTGCCATGACAACTCTAGGAAACTAATGCCGGTATGGTGCGGGGCTCCTGGAGGCCAAGAAAAGACAATCAGGAAAGAGGAATGAACTGCTGTGGCAGATGCCACTCGAGATTCAATTAGCTGAAGACTGGCATGACCACTTGCTTTGGCACAGAGCAGAGAGTTCTGTAATCTTGTAGGCACATGGCCCATGTGAGAGTTTCTCTCTGATCTGGCCCTACCACTGGTGTCCTTACCATGATGCCCCTGGTGAGATAAGTAATTGTCTTCAACTGTTCCTCTCTTAGCTCCCTTGCTAAGTTGCTGGCCAGGTATCACCATGCAGACTTCTGAAGCATTTCTGTCTTCTTATCTCCTCTTCTGTCCACTGCTATTGCTACCAGCATAGGTTAGTCTACCATCTTCTGCTGCGTGAGAGCCACAAGTAGCTAGCCTACCACCAGTTTGTGTCTCTGCTGCTTTTTCCTCTTGAATGGAAGTCTCTCCCCAGTTCTATAGAACCCGGGGCTGTTCCACACTTCCTGCTTCACCTCCTGTGTTTCAGCCCTAAGCTCAGTCCCTATAGTTTGTTCTGTTCTTTCTCCACCCTAATCTCAGTCCCTATAGTTTTTCTGTTCTTTCTCCACCCAGGACTTTTCTTGAGCAGAGACTGTGCCCCACCCATCCCTGTGACTATGAGCAGACACTGTGTCCCACCTACCCCCGTGTCTATGACACTGTGCCCCACCCATCCCTGTGCCTATGAGTAGACACTGTGTCCCACCCATCCCCATGCCTATGACACTGTGTCCCACCCACTCAAGCCTTCAAGTCTAATTCTTACTCATCCTCTAAGTGAAATTCACACAGATGTCCATTAGGTTTTGTCCTCTGTGACAGCTGCTATAAAACATTATTACTTCTCTAACTATAACACAAACCACCACTTGTATATTTATTTTCCTCAATATATTGGATGCTATATAACATGAGGCACTCATGGATTCAGGAATTTTCCTTTCCATATGCATTCCTATCATTATGCCAGATACCTAGGAGATTTAAAAAATAAGTCGGACATTGGTGGCAAACGCCTTTAATCCCAGCACTCAGGAGGCAGAGGCAGGTGAATCCCTGTGAGTTCAAGACCAGCCTGGTCTACCAAGCGAGTTCCAGGACAGGCTCCAAAACAATACAGAGAAACCCTGCCTTGGAAAAAAATAGTTATTGTGTTTTTTTTATTTACTAATTTGTGATACTAGTTATTAGGCCTAGAATTCCATTCATAACAAAATCTTTGACCATCAGAATGGGTGTAAAGTGGCATTCTGCTTTTAAGTTGCACACCCTTAATGACTACCAATATTCAGTCTCCTGTCCTGTGTTTATTATCTGCCATTTGCTTTTAATCTCCTTGGAGACACTGTGGTCATAGAACAATTTAAATTCAAATGTAGTTTTGCCTTAAACATGAACAGATGATTAAATGCAACATGGAATTTTAAGGTGCCAAAACAAAAAAATAATGGCATTAAACTAGAAATAGAATTCTCATGAAACAAGTACAGCACAGAAACATTTCAGCTGCAAGAAGTCTGTGCTGCACGCTGCACTCACCAAGAAGAGCTCCTCTGGGGACTTATTCCCATCCAGCTCGATGAGATACTGGGGATCATGTTCAGCCATTACCTCCTGGAGAAAATCAAATAGAAACTTGATAACTCAAGATCATAGAGAAAGTTGAATAAAGGATGAAAATCTTTACAGCTAATAGGAAATCTTAATAGCTAATTCACTCACCTCATGCAGGTTATAATGCCTATCATTTTCAGCACTGGAGAGATCTTTTGCAAAAGCAGAGTTAGCCATCTCACCATGAACATCTGTCTGAGGTGCTGGGGATTTGCACAGACTGGACCACTGAGCTGTACCTCCAGCTGCACACACTACCCCCCCCCCGCCTCATTTTTCCTCTCCTCCAAAGTTTAAATGTCCTTCCCAACACAAAAGGTTTTGAGGATTTGCAGCACATAACTGTAGCTTTGCTGTTTTTTTAAACCACAGAGAAAGCTGATAGATTTTTAAATCCTTCACTTTCTTCATATAGATAATATCATCATTTAAGCAGCATGCTGCACCTTTTATTACTGCAGAGCACACTTTTAATAGAAAATTTATACAACAGGAGAATACAAAGGAAAACATCTTCAATCCAGGCACTGACTTATTCGAGATCATAATGTCTATGAGACTCTGGAGCCTACTTTCCCACTAAGAATTATAATTACTTAACACTCCTTTACTAAGCATTTCTACTTATTTTTAAAATTAAAATATATTTTCTTCAATAATTACCAAAGTAACTGGACTCACAGCAGTCACTGAAGGACAGACAAACATACTCTTCATCCTCTCTGCTTCTCCCCATTGATATAAATACTACACACAAACACGTGTTGAAGAACACCTACTAAGCGTCTTTTCACAATGTGCTCAGACACTGAGAAGGGCTAGGTTTCTAAAAGTAGGTTTCTAGTGTCAGTAGGTACTGTTTACTGTTTCTGAAAGTATGTATACTTCAAAAGTCTCACAAACACTGAAAAGAGAATCTCTACTCTTTCCTGCCAACACTGGCTGATTTGGGTTTTACAGTCTGATAAACTGAATTGAAAAATAGGATCTGTTTTAACTCTTCATCTGTAAGCAGCCTAGTGACTTTTGAAAAACATATTTAACATATCCCAAAAAGCACATGGTGCTTTGTAGGAGTAAAATAACATGATTGTGAGAATGAGACCTGGGGGCAGGCGAGATAGCTCGGTGGTTAAGAGTACTGCTCCTCTCACAGGGGACCCAAGTTCAGTTCCTAGAGCCCACGTGATGGCTCACAGCCCAGGCTCCCTTACCCTCTTCTAGCCCTTACAGGCCCCTGAATACATGTGGTGCACATAAACCTACTCTCACACACATGCGCACATGCATGTACACACACGCACACACACACACACTACACACACACACACACACACACACACACACACACTAAATAAGTACACCTTTTAAAAAAGGAATCGGCATGGAGACGAAAGCCTTTTCTGAGGGCTTTCATTAAACATTCACTTGAACATTAACCATACACAAAGCATGAGTGTCAACATCCCCACTCTAGCAACGTCTCGGTCTCACCTCTAAAGAGTGAAGAAGTATGTCCTTGTAAAGCTTCACAGCATTTTCAATGTTCTCCAAATAATCCTCAGGGCGCTGGACCAGGTACTGAAGAAGTTCAGTTACCATCTGCATTTCAGCCATATATGCCTACAGGGACACAGAAGGGAGGGACAGGGTTTAACTCTTAGGGAAATTATTGTCTGATTTATGAGGGGCAGCCAGGAACACCATCCTGTGGGAGAAGCAGAGACAGAAAGAAGGATGGAGACCGAGGACTTCGTGTGTTAGAGATGGAGCACTCCTGGAAGTCTTCATTGGAAACTGGCCTTTAAATCAGCTTGGTATTTGCTGGTGTTTTGTTCCCGTTCTCAATAATCAGAACAGTGGAGGGATGCGGTTTCTTTTGAGGCAAAGAGGGAAACTGGAGTCCCTGAATACCTGAGCTTGTGGCCTGTGTCTTCACTCATCCAGTGAGCAGTTATGGAGTGCCCACCACAGCAGGAGCGCCATTCTGGGCACTTCATATACAACACTGACATGCTGCACTGGAGGAGATCACGTTGTGGTTTTAAAAGACAGCATAAACAGGTGACACATATGTAACACTATATGTGCTAGTCTGAGGAGGGGAATGTGATTCACTTCTGAGAAGAACAGTAGGGACTTTTGGAAAAGACAGCATGTCCTGAGCCAGTCAGAAGAGAGTAAACACTGGCCCACAATTCTAACTGATGAGGAATATTAGTAATATGGAGGGGGTATTGATTCCTAGCACATTCTCTGAATTTATCATCGTGTGATTGAATAGTAGGTACAACACTCAATACCAAGAAGAAACATAAAGCAGAGGCACGGAAGACAGAGACAGAGACAGAAACACACACAGACAGAGACAGAGAGACAGATACACACACAGACAGAGACAGAGAGACAGATACACAGAGAGAAACAGAGACAGACACACAGAGAGACAGACACACACACAGAGAGAATTCTGAGAATGCCTATGGGGGCTGGGGATGTTGGATCCTCTCAGAGCTCCAGGCAGTTGTTGAACAGAGCTCAGTGCCTCTACAGGAACAGCTCCTGATGCCATTTATCTAGGCCCTCATTTTATCATTGAGACCGAGTCCAGCTACGGAACCCAGGCTGGTCTGAGTCCACTGTATCCCAGACCGGCATCCTTGCAGGCCTTAGTCTCCTGAGTGCTGGGATGAAAGGCATATACTATCACCTACACCATGTTTAGTATTATAATTATCCTTCCTAGGTTTTTATCAATGCATGCTCATAAATAATTCACACAAGTTGACTCTTCTCACATACCTAAACCATTTTATAGGATTTCTTAGTTTAATTGATCAAGTAATATATTCATTTCCATGAAAACATCATGACTTGTTTATTACTCTACATCTAGATAAATAAGGATGCTTCTGATTTTTTATCAATATTGCAATGAGTAATTTTGTATTATACTGAGCAATATATATTTACACTGCTAAAATCGGCATGGAATAGTTCCTAAAATGGAATCACTGGGCCGAAGGTTGTGCGTCTTGAGATGTTAAGTTCATATCGCCTTCTGTAAAAGATGCTTCCATCTCTGCAGCAGACGGTGCTGTGAGCATGTTTGCTAAATTAAACCATTCAGTCGCTACCCAGCTTTGTGTTACTCTCTGTCGAGCACTGGTCCAGGCACTGGAGCCATCATTAAACGCCATAGGAATATTACATTCAGCAGGGCACACAGATTATAAACAAGCAAAAATGTAATATGTTTTTTGGAAAATGACAGTGTTGTGAAGAGAATAAAGATCAAAGCTCAGTCTTGTGCCTGGCATGGCAGCTTTTGTGACCAAACGAGCCCTTGAAACTTGGCAAGTAGACTGCATGCCATGGAAGTGTTAAATGCACACTGGGGCTCAACAGCACAAAACACAAATGTGTTGTACTTAGAATCTTTGTCTTTTCTGCATGTTCAAGTAGAAATCCAGACAGGGAAGCTCTCAAGGCTTCAACCCTGCACAAAGAAGTACGGGCAACTAAGGAATACCGAGAGTGGGAAAGAGGCTTTCTTGGGGAAGAGCATGCCAGCTAGTTATCCAGTACCAAAAAGTCAGTCCTGAAACACGCATACAAGAAACATTTTATGGGCTGAGTGGGTTGTATTTATGTAGTTGAGAATACACACAGACAGACTGACAGACAGACACACAAACATGACATCAATTAATGAAAAAGAAACCATGAATTTGGAAGAGAGAGGGGGAAAAGTGGCTGTGGGGAACTGGAGGGAGGAAAGTAAAAGGGGAAGTATGGAACTGTATGGCAATCTCAAAACCCCTGCAAGAATAGTACAGAATCCCCCAATTCCAAGTCTGTCATTCTTAGAATTTCCATTGTTATTACACGTTCAAGTAAAAATCTGGCGACATTGGTTTAAATAAAATCTGTTAAGATATAAGAACCATAAAATCCACTCAATAGGTGGAATATCATGCCTGGTGCTGGAAACCCAAGCAACTTCTCAGGGCTAGTGAGGTCATGGATCATGAAGGAGAACCTACAACCTCAGTGTGCTAGCATGATCCTTAACTCCATCCTAAATACTTCTCCTTATACCCTCAGATAGGTGGAGGCCTCACCCTCATCAAGGAATCTTCTCTTTGCAACAGACAGAGGCTATTACAATATGATTGGTAAAAATGCAGAGAACAACAGGAGAGGCGGGTTCCTAGTGCGTGCATTCTGCAGCTGGCCTACTCCCTTGCCTTCTCCCCTCCCACTAGGTCTGCAATGAACTTACAGATCCATCAACCTTAACTTAAAAACCAGAACGTTTACACAGTGGTGGTGGAGGAGACAAGACAAAAACAATTAGGAATTGGAGGAGAGAAAAGAAAAATAGAGAATGGGGAATCTCTTTTCATTTCCCTAATTGCTACCAGTATTTGCAAAGGTCCTGAATAGTACTGGGATCTAGGATGGCATTAGGTGTCCATCCTAGTGATATTGCAACCAGGCCCTTCAGGCGGAGTGCCAGGTATAGAGGCTGGAGGTTTTCTAAAAAGGTATCCAAAGGGGGAATGAAAGGGTATGGGAGACAACACTCCCATGAGTGAGGGGGATGGGGAAGGTCTCAGTAGTTGAGGGTATTCCCAAGAATCAGGGTGGACCAAACTAGATCAAGTTGTTTAGTGGGTCATCACCATACTCGGCGGCATTGGTGCTTCTGTGGAGGCCAGAAAGCGAGGAGGGCAGAAGGCGAGGATGAAAACCAAGCACTGTGGGAATCTCATCCACAGAAAAGAGTTAGGGAACAGAGTCACAAAAGCCATAAGGACCAAGTCAAGCATGGTGGCACATGCCTTTAATCCCAGCACTCAGGAGGCAGAGGCAGCCAGAGCTCTGTATGTGTGATCTGAAATAGAAAAGGATCAAGGCTCTATACTGCTAATTCTTTCCCCTGTGTTAAAGAATTCCAATGTATTACAACCTTACTTTCCATGACGTATATGTGTTTCTCACCAACAACCTTCTCCCTGAGGAGTGCTGGCTGGCAAGGCTAGAGCACATATAGACAAACTGCCTCCTGGCCTGACTCTGTAGACCTGCTCTTAAAGAGCTACTTCTCCCAGAGTTTCCCTGACATTAGAGCCAAACTTAACAGTCTAGAGAGGTGACCCCTAACTCCTCAGGCAAAAGTCTTAGCAGTGGTCTCCAAGGTGTGCCACGGGAGAGATTTAAAAAGCCAGCAAACAAAAATATCTGATGCTAGCTAAGGACTTGCAGCTGACCATAGCAACTGCCCAGGCTTCCTTGCCTTCCCAAACCTAAGGGCCTCTGGATCCATGCCTCAAAGGTGGTCAGGAAGGTCACTGGACCTGGGCTTGCCTGAGCCACCATAAACCATCTTGACCGTGTCCAAGGAGGGCATTGGGCTGTTAACTGCCCCCATGTCCCTCGTAGTATGATAACATCAATCCTAGATCACCTTCCAGCTGATCTCCTAGGTCTGGCCATGGATGACTGAGGGGCTCATGCTCCCTTGGCCCTGCCACCACCATCTTCAACAGAGAGCCTTAGGTAATCATCACAGTATCAGGGCTACCCATATCCTTCCTTTTTTCACCAGGACCACTTACTTGGTCCTGACGGAGTTTTGGAGGCCCCCCCCCCCCGTTCTTTTGGTTCCACTATTGTCAGGATAGGAAGACAGCCTTGCTAATCTCACCAAACGCACCACTTAGCAGATTCTTTAGGGATATTCCCCTCACCTGCTCCTTCCTAGAAGACCTGTCCCATCCTCTTGTTGGGAAAGGACCTCTTAGCCAAAGTGGGAGCCTCTATTTCCTGCACTGTCCCAATCTGCTTGGTCCCAGGCTAACGGACTGTTCCCCTCGTCCTTCTCCTCCAGGTACACAATCTGACACTCCTTCTCCCTTGCTGGCCTCTCCAGCCCACTGCTGAGTATGTGACACCCAAATCCCCTTATGGCCAAAGTTGACCCTCCTCTCATCCGACTACAGAGCCCTTTCACTGCTACCCAGGGCAAAAGTAAGATGTCTCCTGCTCACCTGATCCTGGTTGTTTAGAACGTTTTGTCTCCCTGTGTTCTGTGTGCAGATGGATCTGTGTTTTCTGCTGTGTTTATCAGTCATATCTGATGGGAACGGCAGAAGTCACAAAACCAGCACAGCCGCTTGATAAAGATCCAGCAAAGCTGAGCGAGTGATGGCCACCATGCTATTTTGTTTTGGATGTGTGTTTTGATGCTGCTTCTGTGTGTTGTGTGGTTAGGGATTTGATATGTGTACAACTTGGGGATGTTGTATTGATGAAAAATTCTTCAGAATCATTCATACCTTCTCCCAGGAGTACTGCTTCTAAGCTTCCCCAGGTAAGTCCTGAACACCACCCCTCCTGCTTTTAGGGAGACTCCCTTATCTACCTGAACGTCTTCCTTATGCCATGGAGGTTGTGACACACATAATGAAGCCAGAGATACTCTTGAAACATCTGTCCCTGTACTTACCCAGGAACAAGACAATCAGAACAAACTACAGGTAACTTCCTACCACACGCCCAGCCAATTACGTGGCATACACAGCAGCAAAGTTAGATGGGCTGGAGTTATTACTGCC